AAAACCAAGTGCCTTACCCTAGCCAAGAGAGCTGGTACACATTTATAATCGTTATACTCCAGTACAAAGGCAAGAGATTCCAAGTTCAAGACCAGCCTAGGTCATACAGCAAGGTTCCACCATAAAAAAAATAATAATAATAAAACAAAAAGCCCTTTACAAAAATAAAAAGTTCATCTTTTCCTAACATGTACTACTCAGTGAATATTTTGGGAATGAATTATCACTTTTCCTTGAGTCTCTTGGTACCAAACATTATCAGTGTTACCTACTAAGATACTGAATCTACACTGGAGCATGATCTCCATGTTTCTAACTGGGCTTGGTGATGCACACCTTTAATCCCAGCACTTGGGAGGCAGAGACAGGAGGATCTCTGTGAGTTTGAGAGCCTAGTCCAGGGCAGCCAGGGCTCTATTATGCAAAGAAACCCTATCTTGGGGGGAGGGGGGAAGTAACAGAAGTACTTACTGCCTTGATAAACAGCTTCTTCCAAAATAGGAAAAAGGAGGTGAAACATGACACATACAAAATATACTGTCTGTTGTGTAATTGCTAAAACTGACTCCAAGTATAAAGGCTACTAAAGTTGTTGAAAAGCTTCTACATCTGCCATACATCTGTTCTCTCTAGCTTTGTGGTAGTAGGTATTTATTTATCTGTCTTACGTTAATCATTATCAAATTAACACTAGTCTCTGCTATAACAGTAACATAATTAGAGAACATTAGAAAAACATTACTAAAATACGTCACCAAAATCTATATAATTTTCCTTTCCTACAAATCTATACCAGATAACGACAAGTAAGATATTTATTTTTAGAGGTACATAATCATGAACATAAAATGTTTCAGAGTAGGGCTGGAGAGTGCACAGTGGTAAAGCTGCTTCTGCCAAGCCTGCCAACCAGTGTGATTACCAAGACTCACATGGCAGAGGCAGAGAACCGACTTTTGAAAGTTGTCCTCTGACCTCCACACATGCTCCATTACAACACACACACACAGATAAAATTTAAAGATGTACAATCTAGTTTCATGTACATACTATACAGTCTTATTGTTCTGATTAATAAACAATATAATGTAAATAACAATATTACTGTATCACAAGCTGAGTTTTAAATCCTAAATAATTCAAGATAGTAAAGCGAAAGAAAAAAAGTATCATTGCTAAACATTTCCCTCTCTTTTAAAATTCCAAGAAAGTTAATTCATAAGATAAGCTGCACAGACTGTACTATGTTTGTTAAATTCATAACTGAAAAGAAGATTAGGAAAACATCTAGGGAATGGAGGTTTTAAGAGAACAAATTACATCTTTCAACAGGCAACAACGTCATAAAGATGTCAACTAAGAACTTTAGAAGTGACAATACAGTATTATTCAGTCACACTGTAAATTGTTTATAGGGGTAGAGCACATTCCACATTTCCCACTACCTTTGTAAAACACTTAAAATTCCTATTGTGAAACATGCTAGTAGACTTCCCCCCACACACACACACTTGAGCCTTGAAATTGAGATCCTTCTGTTGTCTCAGTCTAACCAGTGCTGAGGTTATGGATATGCCATCAGGTCCACCACCAGGACATTTTCATGAAACATTCCTTCCACCTTTAAAAAAAGCAGCAAACTGCCAGGGCCATGGCACACCTTTAATCCCACCACTCAGAAGGCAGAGACAGCTGGATCTCTGAGTTCCAGGCCAGCCTGATCTACAGAGTGAGTTCCAGGACGGGCAGGGCTACACAGAGAAACTCTGTCTTGAAAAAACAAAAGAAGAAAGGAAGGAAGGAAGGAAGGAAGGAAGGAAGGAAGGAAGGAAGGAAGGAAGGAAGGAAGGAAGGAAGGAAGGAAGGAAGG